TTAATTAATTACATAAAGTACAATTTAATCTCATACCCTTTAACTTATTCACTGTATAAGGTATAATTGGCTATTATACCTTTTAACGTAATTCACCATTTCTCTAACAGATTCATTTCTTCATATCATTCTTAGCTAATTCATAATTCTATTTGTTATATTAGTATCAATACATATAACTTTTCTAACTGAATTACCACCAACCCACCAAATTGACCATAAGAGATTTTTCCAAAACCAAGATAATAATGTTAAATAGTAACAACCAAAACTCAGTTGTGTGGCAGCCAAATTGGCCACAAGAGATTTTTCTAAAAACCAAGATAATAATGTTAAATAGTAACAACAAAAATTCAGTTGTGTGGCAGCCAAATTGGTCATGAGAGATTTTTCCAAAAACCAAGATAATAATGTTAAATGGTAACTACAAAAACTCAGTTGTGTGGCAGCCAAATTGGCCATAAGAGATATTTCCAAAAAACCAAGATAATAATGTTAAATAGTAACAAACATGGGTAGGAATCCGTTCCAGACAAACAAACAGATCAACATACAAAGGCAGGGGGCAGTAACAGTACCATTCATCTCCAAGAAAACAGCCAAATTGGATCGACGGTGCAATGCAATCTTAGATACTGCACGCATCTGGGCATTAAACTCTTCAATAATCCAGCTCCCTGCGCTACCAATTCCCAGCCTTGAAGATAAAGCAGAAGTTGCTTTGACGACCCCAAGAAGCCGCATGGTGTCCTTAACCTACAAAGGAGATACTATTAGTGCTTGAGATGGACACAACTACATAACCAAAACATCAATAAGATAAGAAGATAAAGGAACCAAGAAGCCACATGGTGTCCTTAACCTACAAAAGAGATACTATTCCTGCCCAAGATAGATATGACTCTATTGGGGGGGGGGGGGGAGGGAAGGGGGAGGGTGGGTTTGGATTCATTACTTGATAATAAATCTCTTTCTTAGGAAAGACAGCCTGCAAGACACGGCAAGCCGCAGCCTGGATCAAGGGCTCCCTGTCACTTTCAAATATTGTTTCTAATAGCTGCTTGCACTTGAGTTCACTAAGCTCCAGTTTATCTTCCTCTTCTTGCAATCTACACAGTGAGTAAACCATTGAAAGAAGCTTAAGACCATCTGCTACCACCTGCTCCTGAATAGAAGAAGGCTGCGTTGACCGACATTTTTTCCGAGACCCCACAAGCAATGAATTGCATCCAAGCATCCGAGCTTCCATATCCAGAACTGCATCTATTTTCTCCTTCCAACCAAATTCATCTTTAGCTCGGCCATAGACTTCAAGTGAATCTATTCTAGGCAATGCAGTGCCATTGAAGGTCGGCCCAACCGAGATGATAAACTCTTCATCAGCAAGAAGTGATTCAGCAACTGTAAATGGTATATCATACCAGGAACGCATGCCCTCATCTAACTTAAGCACCCTCTGGAAAATGGTAATCTCTGAAGGTATATGGTTTGCTGATGTGTTACCCACATGGATACGGAAACCAACCATGACAATATCAGGGTTTGAATTGGAGACAGATATCTGAAAAAAGAAAAAACAGATAAACCATATAACTAAGAACACCAATCCGAGATGACGAAAATAATAGACCTTGATTCAATGCAAGAACTCTACTGAGCCTCCAAAAAGTAATATTTTCCACAATTAATGATGTAATGTAGAAAACGTGATAAATGCATAAAAAGATAAGAGAAAGGAACAAAATTATGCTAATTACAAGCATTCACCGACAGACAAATGACAGAAATTAAATCAGTTCAAGCCCACATATGAGATGGCTTAGGGCCACAAAGCAATGATTGCATCCAAATAGTTAAAGCCCATAGCAGTAATACCTTAAATCCTGCAGTGCTGGGGCTCTCTAAAAAGCCATCCTCAGATGCTAAGCTCTGTTTAGCGGCTTCAGAATCACCATTTCTGATGGCATCACCACCAAGTTTGACATCCGATGTGATGCAAACAGTTTTCTCAAAGAAATCAAGAGGGAATTCTGGCTTTATACCAGCATAAGCCTTATCGAGGATATTAGAACCCAGCTTTTTAACTTTCTCAGCTGTCACACCAGCACTAGCATCAGCTCCCACTGGGATATGAGAGTATATATGAAGACTGCCATCATCATGTAAAACTAGACAATGGACCTTGTCTTTTGATAAAGGCTTGTAAGCAGTTATCCCAACTAAAGGAGATGTTGACCCAGCTGCATGTCTTAAGTTCTGTGCAAACAACTCATCAGCACCAACGGATACAACAAATGCAGCATTGGATTTCACTGTGGAGAAGCAAGCAAACAATCCGCTGCCAGCCAGCAATTCTCTCCAACGATGCAATCCACTGGGTCTCAGCTTACTGTCCTGCTCCTCCTCAAAAATACAAGATATTTCAGTTAGAGATGTTGCATCAGGACCTAACCGACCCATCAAAGAAGTGCCATCTTGATAACCCAGGAACAGCAACCTATACGTCGAAGAGAAGTATAATGACAAGCCCTTTGCATGAATTTCTCGGCCCTTAATCTGAATAATATCCTTCAAAACCGTGGCTCCCACATTACCTTCAACTGACAATTGAAACCTAAATAAGATCCCATTCTCTGAAAGGACAAGAAGAAACAACCTTCCTTGAGATGCTGTAAAAAGAGTCGCATCAACAATCATGTCATCTGGCAATGTGAAGTAGTGCATAGGACTAATGTTGTCCTGGGCGAGATCATATATCTTAACAAATCTATTAGTAACCACCATCAACTGAACCTGCGAACCAGGAACCCAATCTATCCGTCTAATATATGCACCTTGTAGAGCAAGCTCAATGGCAAGGCGATCAGTCACTTCACCACGAGGATTCACAGTAAGGACCTGACAGTCTTCAAAACCTGCCACAGCAAGGTAGTTCTCCACAACTGAATTAAAAACAAGATGAACAATTTCAAAGCGAACGATATTTCTTGATAGAGGTTTAACATTGGCCTTGTCCGCAGTCACAGGTGCAATAGTTGCTTGTCCTATTAATTGTCCAACATCAAATATAGCAACTTTATCACCTTCCCCGACTGCAAGTCGACCTCGAACACTGACACTGAGCAAAGACTTGACAAGTGAACCATTAGCTAAAAGAGATTTAAGCTCTTTTGCATTTGAATAATCTGCCTTTATCTTGAGGTCCAATGACCCACTTTTATATGCCTTCTTCAACTGCAAGAGGTCGACACCGTAAGAAAGCACCTTGTCCTTTCCCAAAACAACTTTCTTGTCTTTTGAAAGATTAGATTCTCTTCTGCTAGCTATAGAAGGGAGCAATAAACAGCAAAGTTC